TGCCTATCAGATATTCTTCCATTACAACACACTGTTAATATCAAATAGCAGTCCTGCTGAGATGATAACTCATGAACTTCCACTTTCTGGCTGACATCCAACATCAGTTCTTTGAAATCTAGCCCAAAGTCTGAATATGATACTCTGCGACACATTCAGAATCCTGGGCACATCTGTGACAGGCCTGCTTATGGCCTTCCAATAACTCTTCCTTTCATAAAATTGTCTGTATGGAGTCTTTGTAGCATTATTACTGTCAGTATCAAACAGTAAAACAGTACTGTCCTCAATGGTTAAACCACAACAAAAACAATGCCATGCTACAGCCGTATTTATGGAGTTTGCATATTTTGCATAAACTTGTACTTTTTAAATGAAATATTCAACTATAATCTTAATATTTTGATTTTCTGGAAATGTTAAAATAAACAGCATAAAAGTTTTGGTTTATTTTTACTCTATCTATGGATCAGATGATTATGCTCACTTTTGGACATACATGATTATTGTATGACAATAATTTATGGTAAAACTCAAAATGTATATGCATGCATATATATATATATATATATATATATTTATATTATAATCCTCAGAAAGTAGTAAAAACTTAGTATTCATAAATTCTGCAATAATTCAAAGTTAATTTTAAATTGACAATGAAAAAGAAAGAACATTGTCATCATTTTGCTTTATATATATTATTTACATAGAAAACAAAATGATTGTTACTGTATTATTGATACAAACTACATGTTTTGTGAAGTCAGTAATGAAATATAACAAAAATTAATATGTATGATATACTGTATTACATATCATCTCTACTTTCTTTAAAAATTGCATAATCATAATATTTAAAAGATTGCAAATACATTTTTTATTGTTAAGAAGAATTAATAAATATTTTCATTTTAAATTAGTTTTTCAATATTTGTAATATCTATATTATAAATTTCATTTTATTCTAGCAATTATGTAAAATTTCTGACAACTTTACTTACAACTGTAATAGCTTATAAATGTTATACTGTAATCAATATAAGTAATCCAAGTTTTTACAATTAGTAAAATCAGTGGAAAAAAAATATTAGCTTAAAATGCAATTTAAATTTTTTTACATATTTTCAGAATACATAATGATGTTCATGCAGAGCTGTTGCTATTATTTTTGTATGATGCAAAATACTTTTCTATTAATACAAAAATAATAAAAAATAAAAACTATGTGAAGAAATATTTATACAATAATATAATTTAAATCAGTAACAATTGCATAATTACATTAATTACAATAAGTGTAATATAAATTTTTATTACATTATTTATTTTCATGTTTTCTAATGTTAAAAAAGAACTGTAATAAAATATTAAATTAAGCTATTAATTTATAATTATCATAATAAAGAATATGTTATTAACGAAAAATGCATTTGCAGAGTTTATATTTCTGAAATTGTCTGTCTGTTATTTTTAATGCGTATAATAATACGCATTAAAAATATCTGAATTATTATATTTTATTATACAAAGTTAATAACAGTATTTCCATTATTTTGTATAACCAAATTATTCTGTACTGTATATAATTCTACATTTAATAAGATAAATGTAACTATCTACTCATTGTCCATTTGAAATATATGGGAAATTTAAATTTTTTGTTATTATTTGGATTTTCTATTAAATATACAATATGTAGTTATTTAATTAATCAGATATTATTGATATACTCACATAACATAAATCAGATTAATAATAAAATTATTATCCTTTGTCTTTGATTATTTAATTTAATACAAATAATGAGAATTAATAATATAAAATATGCAATTCATTGAAACCAAAAAGAATATCACTATATTTAATATGCAAGAAGCATATTAATAAAATTCTTTACTATGTTTTCAATATCATTAATTGAAATATTACAAATGCTTCTAAATGATAGTTTTAAGATAAGATTATTTGCAATTATAAACCAAAGTAAGCACAGATGAAATAAAATTATCCATGTTTATTTCTCATTTACCTGTAAATGAGGATTCTCTATATATAGTATAGAATCTATCTGGAGATAAAATTATTGAAGATGTTGAAGCAGTTTCAAAAAAATCATTTTTAATTTAATATAGGCTTGAAGTCTGAATAATTGCAGATGACTATGCATTTGTCACAATTTTAATGCAAATTGAAATGACAAGCAAATATAAGTTTACATATAAATCAAAATGTTTATTGCAAACTTCAATAAAATATAGCATTGAGAAATATTAACAATGAAAATTTATCTAGTTTTGAAGAACTGNAAAACTTTCACAAAAAATAAAATTAGACATTCTTTACTCCTTTACATAAAAACAAATTTTTTTATATTAAGCAGATTAAAATTTTAACTGGTGGTCATCTTGAAATGAATTTGTCTAAACTTCTTGGTTTAAAAAAATCCAATTATTATAATTATTATCGCTTTTGCTTTCAAGTGAGAAACAAATATTTGTTATCAAGGACAGTGCATGAATATAAGAAAACTTTCTTCTAATTTTTTTTTTCATTGAAAAGTTCAAATATTGAACTTTAACAAGAGAAATCAGATATGTTGCACATTTTTTTTTATTTTTTAATAATATGAAACGATTCATTTATATAGTCTAATAGATCTTTATTTCATAACTATATTCTATCATAATTTTTAATTCTTTTATATCAATGTAAGAGGTAAAAAATAACTTTTGCGATGTAAATGAGTAAATTTATTTTTTCTAACGTTTAACACACGTTAACGAGTGACGAGAGGATTAGAATCGCGAATGAAATGCATTTTTCTATCTCTCTCTCTTTGTAAAAGGATTCGTGCGGGTTATATATCGACTTAATTTGTGATAAACTTCTGCATTATCTAAATATGTAACTTTTTTGACGTTAAGCAAATATCTCGGCGGTATCCAAGTAGCAAGATATATTTCGATCGCTTCAAATATGGCCACATCCACCCTATAGCTGGCCTACCTTCTATTGAGCTTTCTATCTAGTAGGTCCAGTTATGGTAAACGGTTACTATGGCAACGATGCTGGAGGGTTGTAGCCTAATCCACAACGGATCCACCTTTACTTTACCCGAATCTGTCTGCAACCGCAGTAAACACGACCAATCAGATTTTCCACCCATAAATTTACTCAAGTAATATTTCTCCAACTTTTTTAGAAGGTAAAAAAATATGCTACACCCATTCGGTAACAATAACAAGACTCCTTCACCCAATTGTAACACTTAAATCTCCTTTCCAGATTTTTATATGTATTTTTTTTGTCAAATAAAAAAATAATTTCATCGGGGGCCTTCTCGAATTTTTTAACATGTTTACGCAGATTTTTGTTGAAAATCTAACGTGTTCTGTTTTGCTAGTAAACAAGGATGTTTTAAAAATAGCACAATCATTGTTCAATAGAAAAAAATGCTTGTGAATGACTCGAAACTTTGCTATTATTAATGGGGCCACGATCACAATTGTTACTTGTCCCTTTAACACATCTATACGGTAACATTAATTACAAACTGACAATAAATTGTTATACAAGACGTATCAGTCTAGAGGTTGATAAATTTAAAAACCCTTCAGAGTTTATTGTTTAATGTATACCCGCACGCAATAATATTTAAACACTAGTTGTGTGTTTAATGTCGATTACTACAAGTGTTTATTATGTATAGGTAGTAACAAATTTACAACTGAACACTTTAAAAATTAATAAGATATCAATTATAAATGCTTCGTATGCTAATAACATCTAAAAAGTAATGTATGCTTGTATATTTTTTAAATATGTAATGTTTATAATGCACAGGATCATTTGTTTGAATTCCTTAAAAATTATACTAATAATAATATATTTATAAGCAAATAGGAAATGAGCTGTTTTTTTAAAAACTTTCATATATCAATTATAAATATTTATTAAATATAAATATTAAACAACAAAATTTAACTCAAGTTAAAAAAATTAATATCTTACTCAAGGATAGTTCCCCCCCCTTAATTTTGATTTTCTACAATTTGAGATCACATTTTACAAAAACGTACAACACTAATGGCCTTTTCGCTAATATTTAAAACTAAAAGTTGTTTTTAAGTGTTTACAGAACACTGCTATTTGTGAATTTATAACTTGCACTTAAAAAAAACTATATTAACTTGATTTTTTCTTTAGGAGAAACTCGGAAAATTTTAAAGATATCTCCTCTTTTTTAAGTATTTTGCGTAATATTCTATTCTATGAACGATCTTAATCGATAATTTAGCTACTTTAAAAATAGCTTTAACATTGAGAGCAAATTTATATAACACAGATTAACAGATCAAATCCACTGAAAAAACTTTTAATCGTAGACTTAATGACATTTACTAGTTTTTTTTATCAAACTATATTTGCGATTATATCAAACGATCAAAATCAACAATTGCCAGCGTATTAAAATTACCTTCGGGTGATATTTTTATTTATGTAAGAGTATCAAATTTACATTACAGCCGAATAATAGGTTTGGGCTGAACGTAATCGTTTTAAAATCCATATTTTGAATTTAATCCATTTGTATTTCGTCAACAAATAGATCGTAAGACGTTTCTTTAATAAAATAATTTTTTTAACCAGGAAAATTTATCGACATATTTACGCCAGGTTATGTAAATCTTTAAACTGTAAAGCGTTGTTGCATCGGTCGAAATTTTGATGTTTATACAATATATCCACTTGTGACGTAACTGATACGAAACAATTGCTTTTCGGAATCGATAAGCGTAGACACCGAACTTCAAAGACAATAGAAATGGAGTAAAGTGTGCAAAATAAGTTATCGAAAACCGTTGTTATCGCTGAAACTATTTACAATTTTTCGACTCCGAAGAAAAGTTTTTACTTCGTTGCCTTATGCTAACGAAAAAAAAAATTTCTTTCATAGTTAGTGTTGTTGTCGAATTAAATATTCATGAAGGCAATAGTTATCTAGAACATTTTTATTTGTTTTGACCACAGAAGCAGGTACACAAAAAACCTTACATCAATTACAACCCAGGAAGGCCCCTCCACTCGTTCACAACTCCGTAATTTTATTATAGTTTTTACTCCCGAATATTTTATTTTGTACATCGAGATGGAGGGGTATCCCGTTCACATTTCACAAAAAAGACCCGTATGATTTTTTTATTTCAGTCACCTCCACACAAAAAACAAAAATGCAGATATATAAATTTTTCCATTCTCGTGAACACCCATCATTCAAGTACTGCTTAATTAGGAATGTATGCGGTCTTTGGAACACACTATCATGTGCGCATTCTGAACCTAGAATTTATCTGGAACGTTTACCTGTTCTACATGTCTTGATAGCGAAAATTTCCTTTATATATGGTATGCTTTCGAAACGCTTTCTCTTTCACAACCAAACAGCAACAGCTAAAGCAAGCGAGTGCCGTTGGGCTTGAGAGAAGGGAAGTACACTAAGGCAAAAACAAGTTGATGGGGAGGGGCAAAAGTTTACATGGTAGAGTCTCCCCGGGCCTCCTTTTTTTCTCGGAAATAGTACAAATTGTAAGAAGAGGGACGAAGGAAGTATACGGTGAACGTAAACAGGGGGAAGTAAGAAAGGGATTTTTCCAGTTCTGAAGGCGTTGATCAATGCTTCCATCTTGGAAGGGAATGTGTGTTTCTTGGCACGAGCTATTTTTTTACACATTTGACAATAAATCCCTGAGAAATAATGACTGGCGAGACTTGGTAGCAGTCGGCACGTAAAACAATTGGTTGGTTCGTAAGACGGAACGAACGAACTAAAAAATTAAAAATATTACACCTCCTCTTAACGAGTGACTGGAATGAGATTAATTCGGGTTCACAACCCAAAAATTGTAATACTGAGAAGCGATATAATTAAAAAACCTTGCCGTAAATACTAGTTTAGGATGACTTGGAATGAACAGAGCAGGCATACAACACTTAAGACAATAGAAACACACACATACATATATAACTATGAATTTTGATTGGAGATTTTCGTACACACGTCGCTGGCCGTATACTTTATAGGAAAGTGAAATTTTAAAAATCATTTACCATTTTTGTTATTTATAGTATGTGTATCCCTATTGGCCCTAATTCTTTTTTTAAGGCTCGATATACCCCATGACTGAAGTTAACGCTTGCTGCCTTGGGTGATGTATTAATACTTTGCAGCCACTTTTTTACTTTGAGAATAAACTTATTAATAACTTTTTTCTATGCCCATACGGTTCCGAACCATATATAAAATATCTACTCACAACAAAAATAATAGGAAGCTTTAATAGTTAAAAAAAAAAGATTAAATTTCACGTGCAAGGAACTGTTCATTTTTGGGAACTTTTTCGTATTTAGATCAACGCACGGAAATTTATGACTAGTTTTTGTTAGGTGTTTGCCGTAATTCAATAGCGTTGACGTTACTTCAGTCATGATCTTGACACTAAAAACCGAAGTCTTAAACTAAATATTGTGTAGAGCGAACAGAGGCAGGCGAGAAAGGCAAAACTCATTGTTGTGTCAAGCTGAGTTAGCTGCGTATTACAGTGCGCCACTCGACTGCCAGGTTTGGAGACGACGTGGAGTAAGTGCACCTGAGACTAATTCCTGGCTACTAGTAAACAACCGTTCGTCTCCCAAGTCGAGTCGCCATCTGGTAATGACACAACTACTCTACAAGCAATCTCAGTTCGAATATTTTTAAGAAATTTCCCTAATAAAAATTAAAAAAACACCCCACCCACTATATGTATATGACGGATTAGAGCTGACGTGCAAACTGATATAACCGTCATACGGTATTTTTTAAGTATGGAAACAGTGTTTTTTTAATTCTACAATCCTGAGGATGCAGTTAACTATTATTAAAGGATGATGTCTTTTTTTTTATTATTTATTAAAGGCCTTGTGGCCTGCCTTCTGTTTGGCTTTAAAAGCAAGACCCAGGATACCTAGGCGTCCAACACATAGCACTTTGAGCAGAAGTCAGGTAGAATGTAGATGTTGGGACACAAATACTGATGAGGAAGTTTTACTCCAGGTAATATCACCAAAATGATATTTTCCACAAAGGTTGTACTGTTATCTAATTTGTTAATATATTCAGGTCTGAGACAGGTACTACAAGCTCTATGAGCTTTCTCAGCTTAGTTTTTTCCTGGCTACAATACACTATCTGTTTGACATATATATGATTTTTCTTTGGAAGGAAAAGACTTACTTTAGAGTGATTTTGATTGCTGACAACCTGAAGGTTGTTGGAACTCACCAATTTTACAAGATCATCTTGTACTCTAAAAACTACAGTTGACTCAATATTTAAGCATGATCGAGAAATTAGAAATGAAAACTTCCTGCACTAGATGAGGAATTCTTTCTTTCTCTCCAAATAGGAAAGGAGGAAAATACGCCTCATCTCTAATACTGTTGCTCTGTTCATAAAAATTCCATGCATCAACTATTAAATTCCAAATACATCATTCAAATTTTCTAAATTTGGTCATATCCTCACAGAGTTAAAGTATATATATATATATAATCTATATTTTTTAACATAACATACTTAAATCTTTATGCTACTAGAGGTAAATTGTATTTCATTGATTTCTCACAAATATCACTATTATTAATGGCTGAGCACTTTTGACATCTCAAAACTACAAAAATGAAATTGAAATTTAAAAAAATCATCAATTACACTTAAAAACAATAGGACAAAAGTGCATTAACATTTGACAATTAGCAGCACAAAAATAATAAAACAGTTAGGATTTGATTCCCTGTTTCCTCCCAAGGAGGAAACATTCGTTAACTGAGTGAGGTAGAAATGTGGTGTCTCGGCAAATAGACAACCACAAATGAGGTAGATCACCTCGTATCACACTATTTTACCTATGACCACAAAAAACAGGATATCAATACATCACATCTTATTTGGCAATAGCCTTTCTCTAAAGAATCAAGTACAGGAACTGTCAGACACTTAAAACAATGAAAAACCTCTTAGGTATGTTAACATTAACCCTCAACTCATATATATCAACAAATGGTACATACCTAGAAATCCCTGAGCTATATAAAGTTGCTACTGGTTAGGATTTGAAATATTGCCTTAGATGCTGAGGTATGTTTACAACATGTGCATCTTATAAAGGCTTGAGGCAAATAAGAGGCAATTTTCAGAATACCTGGACCCGATTGTTGCCAAAGTCAACAATAATGATAAATCCATCTGGTGAAACACAAACTCCTGACGGTCGATCCATCTGTCCTTGACCATTACCAGGTGTTCCAAACTTGCACATGAAGGAACCATTTGGGTGGAAAATCTGTATGCGATGATTTCTTGAATCGGCAACTATGATGTGACCCTCTGCATCCACTGCTATTCCTTGAGGTCGAAGAAACTGGCCATTTCCGGAACCTTCATTTCCTAGAAACCGTGCAGACTGAAAATCTGGTTGAATAACCAATAGGCGATGATTGTTGAAATCTGTTACAACCACGTGACCTTCTGTGTCAAATGCAACGCCCCTTGGAGAATCAAAGTGTTTCCATAGAGAGCCTTCAAATCCATATTTGTTAAGGTAGGTACCATCTGGCCCAAATAGCTGAATTCGATGATTTCTAGTGTCAGATACCAAAATTTGGGACTCACTGTTGACAGCTACATCCCAAGGATAATTAAACTGTCCATTTTTGCTGCCTTTTTCTCCAAATTTTAATAAAAACATACCTTCAAAGCTGAAGACCTGTATACGATGATTGTCTTTATCTGCTACAATAATACGACTTTGAGAATCTGCAGCAACTCCTGCCGGTCGGTCAAATTGTCCTGGTCGAGAACCTGGAGATCCAAATTTATGCTTAAAGCTTCCATCTGGATTAAAAACCTGAATTCGATTATTACTACGATCTGCAACTATTATGTGGCCATCCTTATCTGTGCAAACTCCCCACGGTCGACACAGCTGCCCATCTCCTTCTCCCTCTCCGCCAAATGTGAAAAGAACATTTCCAACTGAGCTGTAATTTCTACCTGATCTTGCAATTATTGTAAATGGACTCTGATGAATGTGCATGCCACGCATCATAACAGATATGATGTGTTGACCTTCAATTTCAGGACTGTATGAAACAATATAGGTACCATTCTGTCGATCAGAAACTTCTGCTCTTGTTGCTACTCCTTTTGGAGTTTGAACTATAGCATTAATAGAATCTCCACCAACAAGTCGAGGATCTCCCAAATGATCTTTGGCATGAACAGTGAAACTGGCTACTCGACCACATAAAGCTCTTTTTAATCCAACGCCAGATGCTGTAGAACGTGGAGCAAAGGCATTACTAGTAATAAAACCCAAGGAACCAATAGCAGTAAGTAAAGCTGTATCGGGTGGTGTAAACAAAATATTATCATCTTCACAGGGTTTCAAAAGATTATGATGTTGCTGCTTGATCTCACCTACTTGACTTACAAAGTTATCTCTAAGTTTTATAAAATCCACATCAACAAGATTATCTAAACTTTGTTCTGTATAGTCTATTAGATTATTCATTTTTGTTTTATACACTTTTAATTCATCTATTTGAAGCTGTATAGTATGAACTTTAACTTGCCTTATTTTTTCCACTCTTCGAAGTAGTTCCCTTTCTCTCTCTTCCAATGCATTCATATGTCGTCTTATTGTAGCACGAATTTCCTTGGACACAGCTTGGATTTTAAGATCTATTCGTTCAGACATGCGTTGCGCCATCTCTATGCTCTCATCTATAACATGAGATTCCATTTTCAAATCTTTACATTTACCAGAAATAAGCTTCTTACAGGCATTCAGTATCTCTTCCAGATAGGAAACCGTATGACCCCTGTGAGATCTCATGGTGCATTCTCGACACAGGGCCTCGTTACATTGCTCACAATACAAGCAGATGATACTAGTTTTGTGAAATTCACAAGGAACAGGTTTACGTTCATTGATGGCAGGCAGAGAGGGAGGGGAATATTTTGTTTCTGCATATTTGATGCCAGTATCATCCACTCTGGTGATATTGTGATCTTTAGTGAGACGAACTCGCTGATGAGCCATCAAACAATTTTCACAAAGTGCTTCCTTACAATCTATACATCTCGCAGAAGCAGTGTTTCCATCATCACATGAGGTACACATGTTGTTATTAGAATAGCCATTTTCAAAGTCTTCTTTGACTACATCTAAGATGTCGTTAATATAAAAGGGTGGATGCAATCCATCGAGACTCTGTTCATCACCTAGTGTTTGCAAGACACTTTCGTTACATTTTGGGCATCTATAACTTCCCGTCATGGAATCGGCGCTACCTGCGTATTGTTCGTAACATCTGCCACATATAGTATGGTAACAAGGCAAAACTTTGGGCTCGTCGGGTGCTTGAAGACATATCTGGCAATATATAGCATGATCTGGTCTCATATCTGGAAAAGCAGATGCCATTTGTGACTATCAATGTTCCGCATGTGGACGTAGTTCGACAAACACTCTTCGAGTGCTAATGGAAGGGAGTATCTTTATTTTGCATCTGGCCAGATTAACCCTTACGATTTTATCCTTAAATAGATTCTAGCGCTTAAAAAAACAACAGAGAAGACAAATCTTAATAAAAACTTCACGTTCTGTTAGGCTTAGGATGAGTCTGTTAAAGCAAGCTTCGCTGTCATATCGACCCGTATAACGTTAAGCAGTCATAAGGTACTTACAGTAAGGATTATGACTTATGCTAACACAGTGATGATATTGCACATGAAACAGGAACAACTATAATTTCAACTTCGAGGAACATTGACCACTTACACCATCAACCGAAAACCTTCCTTCTAACTACTTCATCGAGACACAGCGCCCTCTAACAACCTTCTTCGCATAGGTTGATATGTCCGTTGCCACTCATGTCAACCACCAATGGCAGACAGGATTAGATAAGAATTCTCCTCCCACATTAACATTATTGTACATTTCCGAATTAAATCCTTTCTTTAGGCGCTTCCTAAGTTTAAAACGTCCAATATCGTAAAAATATTCGTCCTATTAACAATAATTAAACACAATTTAATGACATTTTTTAATAAACTTTAAAATTCATCGATCGACTTTATTGTTTTGTGTTATTGGTTATCAATCGGTGACGTCGCACAGTATTTAACCAATTATAGCGTTTATAATTCTTAGTGATGTTTTTAAATTTGGTTGATGTTTAAACACGTGGTTTATAGTTATTTTGAAATTTTTTTGTTTTTTTCTTCCGATCGTGTCGACTATCCATCATACTTTCTGTTGTAACCAGTTACTTTAGATTCAAAATAACGGAGAGGTAACATTTCACCTGTGAAAAGCAACTAGACAAAAAGTGTTTTATTTGGCTGTTTTAATTTTCACGATTAAAATATGATTTTTAACCGAATTAAACATTTTATTCTCATATATACTCGTTTTCGAAGGAATTGTCATGTTTTTAAAAATTAGAATGTTTATAATAATATTCAAGTAATTATTTTTAATATTAATTATTGATGTTATTCTATTCAAACTTTATTTAATACTATCAAATTTCGCGACTTTTTTAAAGTAATCGGCACTTTTTTAAAGTTAAACTGTCACTATTTTAACAATTTATTGTGAAAAATGTTATTGTTTGTCAAATTTTAACTTTACAACCTGCGCTTGTTTGTATATGTTTTAAAAAAAATTGCTCTGTTTTTAGTTTTAGTGTCTAACTATTCTTTATGAAAAGAACAAATATCACAATGAAAGCTTCCACCCCTCATTTTTGGTACAGACCTACTTTAGTTGAGGGTTGTTTTGAACTCTACTGTTCATAGGGGAATAGGGTTAATAGGTTTATTATAATACAATCACCTTGACAACTCTCAAATCTTAATAAATCCATAACAATAATATGAAAGTTGTTATAATGAATTGGATTTTACAAATATACATCCCACATTTAATAAAATAAAAATCATTTGTGCGTTATTTTATTTATAGTAAAACTATGACTTTCTAGTAAAACATACGACATTTATAAATAATTTATACGTTACACATTTAAAAATACTTAATTATTTAAATGTTCATATTGCTTCTTTGTCACTGATTTAACACACATCTGGTTCGGTTGAATGAGTAGCCATGGGGCAAAAGGCTAGTCATCTAAATTAGACTATTGGTTACTTTATTCAAATAACAAAACATTCATTCAATCAATATTCATTAAAGTCTGTTGGAAACAATGGGACTGTTCCTGCAAAATTTTATCTTCAAATTACATCCATTGGCCGGGATCATGGACAAAAACCCTTTTACATAAAAATCAAATCTTATTATAAAGATCATTAAGAATGATAAATTTCAATACGGATCATTAGTTTTAACCTTTGAGCTGTCAATCATGATCAATTTTACTTCGAATAGATTAAGAGCTATTTTAAATTAGGTTCTCGTTTAAATTTTATATTATTGAAGGTTTCTTACATAGATTTAAGCTTTTCTCCATTTCTTAAAATTTTATAAAATTAAGTTATAACGAGGTCAGTGAACTTTTTAAAACTTTAACCTTTAAACCACTGACCGACTTTCCCTTTCAAATGGTAAAAATAGTTCTCCTGCTGACCAACCCTTCTTCCTCCCACTAACAATACAGCCTAAAGCATTTTGTGTACTAAGAAGCGGGTACAGATTTTACTAGAGCAGTTCCTTTCTAACCATTTGTTAGTCATCCAAGGTCATAGGAAACTGTCGATAACATATAAATGTAAAATTACAATTCTGTAAATCTCCCATTGTTACCTAAGAGCTAATAACTCTTCAGAAAATCAATATCAAAACTGAAATTTCATTTTAGATTAAAGTATAACTTATACATTATATAAAAATGGCCAAAACATCCAGATAACGAGGGAATGACGTCAGGGTGGACTTCGAATGGCAAACAATATAAGGACCCTGAATGAACAGTCTAATCTACCAAACGAAAATCGAATTAGATCTTTTGCGGGTTTCCGAATTACAAACATTAAATTATCTTGAGAAATATTGCTATGACATTCTTTCATTGTGTAGATACTCTTAAACATTCGTTTTGTTTCTACAACTGAATTTTAAACTTATTTTAAAAATTTAATTGTAATAGGAAATAAATCTTAGAAACCAAACATTACTTCGTTATATTAACTACTAAGTTGTTTAATAATTGTTTATATTTTTCGTATTTACATTTCCATAAGCTCATTTAATGTGAGCTTATAAAAACATAAATATTCTCTTGAAAATGATTTCGACATCAGCTGATTTTCCTCATTCGTTACAATGAAAATTGAAGTTATTTCATCTCTATAATCCTAAAATTATTTCTAGAGTTTAATATTATATTTTATAACTAGAATATTGTCTTTATTATTATTTTTGTTTTTCTATTATTTATTGTTATTGATAACTGATATATTATTTAGTTTTTGATATTGATTAGTAATTCATATATGAGATTTATTTTATATTTGTTTTAAATTTACGTCAAAGTAAGATTGTATAAGTCATTAATATTTCCAAACCTCAAATAATTAAAACTATTCCATTTTTATGTTACATTTTACAGCTTTTACTTTTCGTAAATATTTTAAAATATAGGCTAAATTAATTTTACACAATTGATATAACTCAAAAGAGTAAAGTTTAATAATATACACTTTCATAATTTCTTACTTAAGTTACGTTAATAACATTTTGCGGCATTATTTTATTTTAATCCGTTTCTTACATTTTTTTCGTTTATAATATTCAAAACATGAGCATTAAAATATATACATAGAAAAACTTGTTTTATAATTTTAATTAATAAAAGAGCTAACAGAAATCAATAAGAAATAAAATATCTATAAAATAAAATAAAAATTTTATGTCGTAAAACAAATATTTTAAAATTTTTCAGATAAAATTCTATATTATTTTGTAGTTTTTCAATTAATAATAAACATTATATCTGTGACTTGATAGAATAAGAGCCAATGTCAAGGGCCATTGATCCTTATTTTCCAAGCTATATTTGAAAAATGTCTTTAAAATAAGGAAAAAATAAAACAAATTTTCAAAAATAAAATATAATATTTCAAACAAGATTTCAGAATATAATATATTTCTGTTTGAGAAATGACAAAGTGATGTAAAATCTTTAGAATTACTTCTTCATAATCTTTAAAATATTGAATAAGTAAATTTATTATCAGTAGCATTGAAACAGCATTGAAAATTGCGTGTATATAAATTTTCTAAACTTTTAAATGAAATATCTCGATTAAATTTAATTTAGAACGATCACTTGCCACAATCTTCATAATGGTTATCTACAGTTAATTGACAAATTAAAGAGCATCTTATTATATTTAATTAGAAATATTCAAATTACATTCTAATTATGGAAAGTTGTTTTACGTTTCATTTTTTAAAATTACTTTGAATATAACAGTTTAAGTAAAATTAATATAATTAATATTAAGTGCATTTGTAAGTTTGAATTCTCGAATTATAATTTTAAATAATTTATTTATACGAAAATATTTTTATTTAAAAATCGTATTTTCTTTGCTTTATAGTAATTAAATTTAAAATACTTTTAGATAGAAATACTCTTAAAAACTATTTCTTTGACTTCGGCTTAATATCATTCTAAACTTTTAGTGCTCCCAAAACAGAAATCCGTTTTAAATTACCTTTTATGTTTATTAGAACTCATTTTTGAACTAGTTTTCTGTAAAAGAAAATTCCAGAAATCACCTTTTTAAAAACCCATTTGTAATTATCTTTATTGCTGCACCCTAGGATGTGCGGTACCATAGCAAACAAGCTTAACCCCTTAATAACACCAGAACTACTACTGTGCCCATTATACATATCCATTAACAAGTGTTAATTCTGGACCTTTTAAACGATTTTTTCCTTTCCATTTAGCATAATCCTCTTAAGTTGCCAACAGTAACTACTTCGAAGAACTGAACCCACCTAGAATATATTTGCATACCTGCAAAAGTAGAACTATATGATTATAAATCAAATCGAAACCATTTTTCAGGATTAAAAGGGGATGAAATGGATATTTATTTTAAAAAACTACAAATGTTTGTATAAATAATAACTCTTTTTGAATGTTCTAAATAAACGTTAAACATTCCTGTTATTTAATCCCTCTCATCAGGGAATTTCTTCAGTTTCCAACTGCTACATTGTGAAGTTCGTTTGACATGTTCCTCTAAAAACTCCCTTGTGGATTGATTGCTTTTTAATTGATTTCTACAACTCGACTTGTATTTTATACATTTATACAAATTTAAATAATTTGCAAATTTTAGTATTAATTTCAAATTAACGTAACAATAATTTTTAAACTAGTATTTTCATTATTTATATTTATGTATATTTAATTTAATCATAATATGTTTAATTGAAATTAATATAAATATTTTATGAAACAAATGTACATTTAATTAAATATTTATATTAATTTCAACCAATAAAAAATATTTTTGCCTAAATATATCGTTTAATTTCATACACTGTTTAATTATGATTAATAACATAGTACTAGCTATTAATTAGAACAGATAATTGTTATTGCTGTAGTTAATTTATATTGAAATTGTAATCATACTGTTTTAATTATTCTAATATTATTTATTTTAATACGATAAACATTTCAATTCTTCTATTACTCCTATAACAGACTGTTTTAATTACGTTTAAAATGATATATAAAATGTGACTATTCTAATATCTCCAATTTTGTAGAATTGTAGCACTTTTGTAAAAAGAAAAAAAATGCCCCTACCATTAAGTTCACTTAGACAAATATCAGTGATTTAGCTCCTCCAAATTGCTATTTATGGAGGATCAAACAGAACAACAATGAACCGAAAGTGCTGGGTTGTAAAAGTAGGAAGCCTACCTTGTAAATAGAAACTTTTATGACATCGTGCATTTGTACCACATGTTCTAAAAATCACCATGATATGGGTGAAAT